TGTTTATCTGAAATATCTTTATTTCACCCTAGTAATTGATAGTTTCAATGTATATAGAAATTTAGGCAGAGAGCACTTTGGAAATGTCATTCCATTGTCTCTTGACCTCCATTATTGTGGTAAAAAGTTATTTGCTCAGCCTGAGTCTAATTGTTATTCCATTGAAGTTCATCTCTCTTTTCTCTATAACTTCTTTTAAGAATTGTATTCTCTTTTCTTTGTTGTTCAGCATTTTTATTATAATGAATCCGTGTATGGATTTCCCTTTGGGATTTCTGCTTCCTGAATGTGAGGATTGCTGTCTCTTATCAACTCTGGAAAATTCTTAGCCATTATCTCTTCAAATAAGGGTCTCTACTTCTGGAATTACAATAGAACTTAGGCATTTTCACTGTAACTCCTTGTCTTAATCTCATCTCTTTGTCTCTGTCAATGGTTTCCTGCGCGATTTCCTCTAGTTCACTTTAGCAGCACTCGATCTGCTGTTTAACTCATCCAGTGAGTTTCTAACTTCAATTCTTATAATTTTCAATCCTAAAAGTTCTATTTTACTCACTTTAGTCTTGTAAGTCCACTTTGATTGCCATATATTAATCTTCTCTTTTATTTCTTTAAGCATTTATTTTCTGCTTTCATATGGTAATTCCAATATCTTCAGATTTCATGGGTCTGCGTCTGTGGTTTATTTCTGCTGACTTTTACTCATTGTTTTCTCTGCATTTAGTGATATGTATTTGCGAGCTCTTGTTCTTTAAAACTCTTTCTGTTGGAATTCTTTGAGGTTCAGTTTTGAGCTCTGGGGGCGTTATTAACACAGGAACAATTTGTTCTCTATTTTGGCTTAGGTTTTCTCATTCTACTCAAATAGTGTAAATTCTGACCACATGCCATGTGAATGAGGGCTTGTGGTTTGTATTTCTCAGGAGAGAGTGAGACAAACGTCCTCACCTTTGTGGAGCACTCACATTCCAGTGGGGTGAGAGGGAGAATGAAAAATCAACACAAAAAAGGAGAAAATGAAGATATTCAGAATCTGGTAAATGCCTCCAAAAAAAAAGAAAAATTTGAGCGGAATAAAGGGATTGGGAGTCAAGTGAGGTGGTAAGGTTTGCAATATTGAATACATTTGACAGAGTAGGCCCCGCTGGAAAAGTGACGTTTGAGCAAAGCCTTAAATGAGGTGGGAAATGCGTGAGTGATGAGTGGGCCTTGTGTGGCCAAGGAGACTCGGGGGTTCATGCGGCCTGAGCAGCGTGAGCACGGGGGCAGGGGCAGTAGTTCACGAGGTTGGAGAGGCCAGGTGTCTAATAGGACATGATAACAACTTTGTTTCTGCTCTAAGTGAAATGAGGAAGGGTTTCAGGGTTTGGGGCAGAGGAGTGATAGGATCTGACTTATCAAAGGGCCACTCTTGCTGCTGTGTTGGGAACAGACTGTTAAGGTACCGGAACAGGAGCAGGAAGCCCAGCTTAGTGGCATTACAGTAATCCAGGCTAGAGATGACAGGGCACAGATCAGAGGTAACAGTTAATGTGAAGTGGTCAAATTCTAGACATCATTAAAGATAGAGCCATTATGAGACTCTGTCAGATTCACTGTACAAAATGGAGAGAAACAAAAGAGTCAAGGTTTAATTTGAACCTCAGTTTTCATGGCTTCATGGGGGGCGCTGGAGTTAAGGGTAAAGATCAGGGTCCACCCAAAGAGTCTAAGAGGCACCTTGAAGGACTACACACTCAGCTTAAAAATCAGAGGCAAAAAACAAATTAGAAATCCTTCCCCATTCCCATTGGTCTAGTGATTAAGATCCAGCGCTCTCACTCACTCAGCCCAAGTTCCTTTCCCAGTCAGGGAACCACACCACTCATCTGTCACACTGTGGCAGCTGTGCGTTGCTGTGATGCTGAAAGCTATGCCACCAGGATTTCAAATACCTGCAGAGTCACCCATGGTGAGCAGGTTTGAGCAGAGCTTCCACACTAAGACAGACTAGGAAGAAGGACCTGGCCACCCACTTCAAAAGACTGGCCACAAAAACCTTGTGAATGGCAGTGGAGCATTGTTTGATAGAGCATGGGAAGGGGAGAGGATGGCACAAAAACACCACGCAGGGAGGCCAGCCCCATGGCCTAGTGGTTAAGCTCAGCATGCTCTGCTTTGGTGGCCCAGGTTCAGTTCCTGAGTGTGGACCTACACCACTTGTCAGTGGCCATGCTGTGGTGGCATCCCACATACAAAATAAGGAAGATTGGCATGGATGTTAGCTCAGGACAAATCTTCCTCGAGCAAAAAACGAGGAAGATTGACATGTTAGCACAGGGTGAATCTTCCTCAGCAAATAAATAAATAAACAAAATGTTTAAAAAAAGAAAAAACACAAGGCAGGGTTCCACTCTGCTGTCCACAGAGTGAAAGGGATCAGAATCCACTCCACAGGCACTAGCAACAACCCCACTCTGAAGATTGCAATTTGGTTAAGCAGAATCCAATTGTCAGACATTTAAGCTATTTCCAATTTTTGGCTATTTTAAATAATGCTTGTTGCATATAAATCTTTTCCGCATCACTGATGATTTCTTGAGGACAAATTCCTAGAAGTGGAATTGCTGGCATCAAGGCTACAGTAGACTCTGCGAAGACTTTTTGATGCATGTCGCCAAACTGCTTTCCCGAAGCCTGCACTAATTCATCCCGTCGGCAGCCCGGGAGCGATGCCTCGCCCCACGGGAAGGCTTCTCCGTGCCTTTGCTCAAGGAAATTCAGGATCATATGGTGGACTTACTCCCCAAATGTTAACTGACTTTCGTTTACACATGCATCGAAAAACAAAAGATTCTGATGCTGATACAACCAGTAAAAGCATCCTCGACATCCCAGTTAAGAACCGAGGCGCCCAGAGTCCGTCAGGAGCCCAAAGGTAGAAACATTTGAAAACCTTTTCAGCTATTTTCAAACTTTGCTTCCCTGTTTTCCAAAATGACTATTATTCATTTACTTGAACAAAACAGTTTAAAGTGCAGTTGTCATCTATTATATGCCTCCGAGAGCTGGGCACTCGGTCTTATAATAAATGGTGGTCTTAGTTCATGCCGTGTGATGAAAGGGCAGTCAGCACACGTTCAAGCCTCTAATCACGGCCCGTAATCCCGTTTTCACATTTCTCTCTGGTCTATCCTACTTGACCCTGCTTATTGAAGCACTTTTATTGTTGCTGGTTAAAAGGACAAGGGGTTGAGCAGAAACAAAAGTGAGGTCTGAGAACCGTTTTTATGCCGTGTGCCCAGTCCAGCTCCACAGCTAAATGAATAGCAACTATCTGGAAATCAGCCAAAGCCACTTGATGGAAAACTCTGACTTCCAAAAAGTATTTCTGGTGCTTTGAAAGCATCGCAATTTGCCCAGGTTGAAAGAGAAAGGTCTGTCTGTTCCGGATAAGAGCACAGCTAGCTAAGTAGTCCTCAAACTTTCTGTAAAGAGCTGGATAGTAAATATTTTAGATTTTGTGAGCCACGTGGTCTCTCATGCAGCTACTCTGTTCTGCCACTGTGGCACGGAAGCAGCCATAGGTACTCTGTGAGCCCACGGGCGTGGCTGCGCACCAGGAGAACTCTACCCAAAAACGGCCGTGGCGGGACTTGCCCACGAGCGGTAGCCTTGCCAATCCCTGTTCATAAACTCACAGTCACCCCGCAGGTCCCTTCCAACTCGGAAATTCTCTGACTCTGTCACTAGGCTGGCCCTTTGGGGCATGTGGTATTTTGGCTCTAGCTTGTGCAATATTTGCTGATGTTTGGGATGAGGGGGGAAAGAAAGGGAATTCTACGAACCTCTGGAGGCAAACAGACTCTGTCCATCAGCCAGAAACCCACCAGCTGAGGAGGCTGGACACGGGGCGCTTGCCCTGTCTCTTTTGCCTTAGGTGTTAACAATTGAGTTTTTTAAAACTCAAGTTCTGTTAAATTTCTTCAATCAGGGTACATCTTCCAGTTCTACACGTGTATTGAATCTGTTCCTAAACCATATTGTGATGAGAGGCAGACAGTGGGACCTTCAGCTCTTTAGAGGACAGACACAAGACAGTAGGGACAGGGAGCAACTGGTGGGCTCAGTCTCTCAAAGGATTCTTCAGATGGAATACAAGTCAGAATGAATTGCCTCCCTCTGACTACTGAAATGCCTACTCCCAGGACAGCCTCCAAGGGAAGATGGAGCTCTGAGCTCTCCCCCTCGCTCTCCCCAGCAAAATTCTCAGAGAGGGCAGTGCTATTTTCTCAACCTCCTGGTCTGTTTGACCCCTAGACCTCCCCATCTTTTTAACTCCCACCCCACCCCACAGCATGTGTTTAGTGACCATCGAGCTCCTATTGTACCTTATTTGTCTCTTCTTCCTCTTCCTCTTAAATGTGGTCATTCCCAAAATTTCCATCCTTTGTTCTTTCCCCTTTAAAGTCGTCCTTCTGAGAGCTCATCCATTTCTAGGTCTATATTACTTTGTGATCAACTCCAGTCTCTTTCCCTTGAGCTTCAGTATTCCGCCTGGAAGCCAAGCTCAGCATGTCCAAAGCTGGATTTCGGGTCTGCCCCCAGCTTGATACTCCTCCTCATGGTCTTCTCTCAGTTTGTGGCATCTTTCAGCACCTCAAACTCAAGACCTGAGAATAACCGCTCACTTCTCTCTCTCCTTCCATCCCAAATCAAAGCCATTCTTCTGTCACAGCTTCTCTGCCTGGCAATCCTCATTTTCTTTTCTGCCACCCACTCCCCGGCCATTTAACTGTGTTCTCTGCCTGCAGACTGGCCCTCATTCAGTCGATCTTGAACAAAAACACTCAGACTAATTTTTTTTTTTTAAGATTTTATTTTTTTCCTTTTTCTTCCCAAAGCCCCCAGGTACATAGTTGTATATTCTTCATTGTGGGTCCATCTAGTTGTGGCTTGTGGGACGCTGCCTCAGCGTGGTTTGATGAGCAGTGCCATATCTGCGCCCAGGATTCGAACCAATGAAACACTGGGCCACCTGCAGCGGAACGCGTGAACTTAACCACTCAGCCACGGGGCCAGCCCCTCAGATTAATATTTTAAAGCTCTATTTTTTAGTCACTCAACTATTTAGAAACCATCAGTGGCGTCCTATTTAAATAAAGCTTTGAGGCCCTCCAGAATCCAGCTCCAGGCTCTCCCTGGGTTTCCCAGCACCATTTCCCCACAGGAACCCTGCACTTCAACAAATGTGGACCACTCATTGTTCTTCTAATGTGCCTAACGGTCCCTTCTTCAGCGACTTTGCTTTTGTTAATCTCAGATGACTGAACGTCTTTTCTCTGTCTTTCCCTATCCACTCCTCAACTCCAATTTAAAATCCAGTCCCTCCATGATATCTCACCGAATCACTGTGGCCAAAAAGTTCCTTTATCCTCCTACACCACGGCACTGTTGGTGTCCCGCCCAGCCCATGTATCATATGCCACCCGTGTGGGAGGTACCTCTCCCGACAGATAGTAAGCTGGCTGAAGGAAGGAAGTGACCGTTCTACAGTGACGTCTCTCACACAATGCTTTGCCCAGTGCAGGTATCCAATTAGTATTGATCAAATGAATAAGCACGAATGAAAGAGGAATATTGTTTTTACCATTCCTGGAGAAAAGATCCACAAAAGTCTTTTCGTTTGGAGGTTTTTTCTTGCATCTTTTAACCCATTTCACAGACTAGCATAGACATGTATTTCATTGGTGGGTCTTAACAAATATAAAATTAATCTTAACAACAACAATGAGTAAAACAGAATGGTCCCTTCTCAATGACCTGATGCTTAAAAACGTTTTTAAGGGTGTCATAGTAAACTACAGAAATATTTTATATAATCAAAAGTCCTTGAAGGAAATATATATAGATACAATTTATATCAATGAAAAAGTGGAATATAAACATAACTGTATTTACATACAAATAATATGAACATATGGGGAAGGACCAAATGGGGTAAATATTAATATGCTAACAGGATATTTCAGATATATTTTTTATATTAAAATGTTTCCCCTTTATGGTTACAATTTAATATTCTTTACTGCTTTTAAAAAATAATCTGACCTCCAGAATTAAAAATCTAAAGCAGAATATGTCACCAAGAAGAATGAGAATTGTCCGGAAAGCTGTTATTTAAAAACCCTAACCCCAAAAGTAATTAATCACTATCTACTCTCTCTGATGCAAAACTCTCCCCTGTCTTTCTTGCTTCACACCCTTGTTTTCCTGTGGGCATCAGAACCGGCTCCTGTCAGCCGTGCAGCCCGCAGTCCAACGGGCGGCTGCACGGCTTTGTTGTGTGTTAACTGGAAGCTTGACCACATCATTGTCTCAGACATTTAATTCAGTAGGACGGAGAAGCTTCTGGTCAACATCATCAGACCAGAGAAGGAGAAGGAAAAAAAGAATTTAGATAATTACCTCATTTCAGAAGGTTTGGTTTTTCACATAAAAGTCTTTGAGCAAAACTTACCTAGGTCTTGAGGGCTTCTCGAAGCTACCTCAGAACTGAGATATCACTTACAAAATAAACCCATTCGTTTCTTTACTGACGCTCCTCCGTGTCACCTCCTGGCAATGTCACTCAAACAAAGCAATCCATCACATACTGCGAAAGAGAAAATCTCGCTCTTTCTTTTGCACATTGGGGAAAAAACAGCTGTAAATGCTGCCTGACAAGTACATACAAAGCATTCAAAATGTGGGAATTTTTCATCAAAACATAGTTTTCTTACCAAAGGAACAAACTCGAGCACACTCCGACGTGCTCAGGAGACAACAGATAAATACTTAAAGATTTTCTTCCTTCAGGTTCAGGAAAAAGGACATAGTTTGAACTCTTGCAGCTTTTCAACTGAAGAATTTTGTAAGCCTGGTCAACTTCCTGTAGTAATAGTAACAACAGCTGCTCTTACTGAGCCCTGACCGTGCGGCGGACAGTGGCCTGCTGCCACGCCCCTGCTCACCACCGGCCCGGCGACGTCGGGTGTCAGCACGCGGGCCGATAACGGACGCTGAAACGCGGCGGCAGAGGAAACCATCGGAAAAAGCTGGACCTCGCGGAGCCCCTCCCAGCAAGAGCGCGTGCGGGGGAGGAAGAAAGGCTTTCACCTGCCGTCTGGGGACAAGGGGAGGTCCCGGAGGCCCGTCTGTTTGCTACGTGGGGTGTGCAAATGTGAGGCCAGAGCTGACGCCCTGAGGCCCATTAGGAAGAGGCTGAGTCCTTCCTCCTGGCCTCCTTTTTACTCACCGCCTCTCCCATGCCGGCATGTCTATTAAATTAAAGTTGAGCTAATGTTTAAAGAACATTATTTTAAAGGGGCACCCACCCAGCCGGGCCTGCTTGCTGTGTTTCCGCACAGGTGCTATTATTTCCCCACTTAGGACTGCCCTTCACAGGGCTGAGCCAGCATCAGCTTCGTGGGCCTGAACCCAAACCCGGGCTGCCTAAAAGCAACCGTACAGACTCCACGTCTGCCCGCCCGCCGCAAGAATCAGTCAGAGGCAGCCAGGGCGGCTCGGTCATGACTCCCAGAGGGCGTCCGCTGCCGGGGAGGAGGGGGATCACATGACCACAGCCCCGGGAGGAGGGGGAGCACACGACCACAGCCCCGGGAGGAGGGGGAGCACACGACCACAGCCCCGGGAGGAGGGGGAGCACACGACCATAGCTGGGGCTGAACCATGCAGAGAGCAGGCTGGTGAGTGTCCCACCACACCTGCTGAAGTGACAGGGAGCACGTTGGCAGGAGCTGCTTTCCCGAGTGGACAGCAGGGCAGAGGTCAGAGCAGTGGAGCCAGCCCCCAGTGGACACAGCCGGGGCCCCGAGAGCCGCCTCTCCACAGCGTGGCCCGGCTGCGGTCAGGGGCCGGCAGTGGCAAATCCTGGACCGGCAGGTGCGGGACCCCATGCTCTTTCTATTTCACTGCCCTGCCTCCATCTCTTCAAATACAGGTGTGCCCATCAATCGGATACAGACCCAGCCCAAAGCCGGCCACAAGACCCCCAGCCGCACCTACCCACAGGATGCCTCCCTCCCTAACTTCCCTCACACGCATGCTCTGCGCACCTGCTTGACACCTAGGCCCTCTTGGCTAAGTCTCTGCTGTAAGTTTCATCTCCCCAGTGAAACTGTGACTCTGTCCTGAAAAGTCCCTAAGACCTTCTTGTTGGGCGCTTCCGCAGCCTCCAGCACGGTGAGGAGCCTCAGAGTAAGCGTTTCACGCTCCTTGTTGAACTGAGTGTGACAGCATAGCTTAGAAACGCAATCTAAGGGTCAACAAATCAACACTAGTAACAGACAGGAAAGCAGGAACCCAGGAAGGGTGTTCAAAAGACGCTGGGCAGTCTCGGACATGGAGTGCCCACTGGGCCACTTCACCCCTGTTCCCAGGGCCACAGGACAAGGTCTCCCTCACCTTGGAACGCCTCGGGCCAGCTCTGGGATGCTCCCCCTGGTCTCCTCACAGGTGGTGTCACAGATCTTTTCTTTCTGTCTGTCTCTCCCGGTAGATTGTGGGGAACATTTTGAGGAAATACTATTCATCCTCGTCGACCCCGTGCCTGGAAGGCTGGATGCTCAAATACTCCTTGAAGGAAGCATAACACACCCTTTCAGCAAGTCCCAGAAGGCCACGTTGAAAATCGCTCTCTGATATACATGTGTTTTTCTCTGGTGTGAACTAGTGACTGAAATAAAGGAAGCAAGATGGTGTCCCTTTAGTACACAAGAAAGAGAGAGGATAGATACCTTTGGCCCAGTAAATAATAGATAAAATTCCCAGAATAACTCATTCTCAAGCTAATGCTTAATTTACTCAGCGGTGATAATATTTCATGTCATCAGGCATGAATTAACGTTCTTTCTACCAGAGACCCATATTTTCAATGCACCAATTTTATTAAATTTAAATTTTCTTATTGAGATAAAACATGCATAACATAAAGTTTACCACTTAAACCATTTTTAAGTGTACCATTCAGTGGCATTAAGTACATTCACATTCGTGTGCAGCCATCCCCACCATCCATCTCCAGAACTTTCTCATCGTCCCAGACTGAAACTCTGTCCCCATTAAACAGTCATTCCCTGTTCCTCCTCCCTTCAGCTCCTGGCAGCCACCATTCTACTTTCTCTCTCTATGAATTTGCCTATTCTAGGGACTTCATATGAGTGGAATCATACAATATTTGTCATTTGTCCACCTTATTTTGCCTAGCATAGTGTTTTCAAGGTTCATCTGTATTGTCGCGTGTCAGAATTTCCTTCTCTTTTAAGGCTGAATAATATATTCCATTGAATGTATGTACCACATTTTGTTTAACCATTCATATTTTGATGGACATTTGGGATGTTTCCAACTTTTGGCCATTGCGAATAAATTTAAAATTTTTAAGTAGTACTTTTAAATAGTTTAAAAATGAAGCAGTAATAAAAGGCAAATAACAAAGACCAGCAATCGCCCATCCCACTGCTGCTGCCCGTCCTGCTGCTCCCCAGAGGCGATAACTTGCGTACCATCGCGTTCCTGCTTCTGGTCATTACAGCCGTATTTATAAATATACTTGTAGGCCCTTTTCTTGAGTTTTTAAATTTTTAATATAATCTACTGACTCCCCACCAGAGAAGAGCCAGCTCTCCTCCTACACACACTTTCCATATATCCACACGGAGACGTCTCCCCTCTACCATTGTTCCAACACATCACATGTTGATAAGACAGGTTTCAGTTTTTATAGTGCCATGCCTGTCAGTCTGGGTCCAGCCAGGAGACAGAAACCACACCTGTAATATGAACAGAGAAAATTCAACAGGAAGAATTATTAACTGGTAATCAGGGAATTGACTACTAAGAGGGATAAAGAGAACTCTAAAGAATACAGAAATATCGGGTGTAGAGAGCAGCTACTATTTCTAGGACGGAGAGAGGGTGCCCAAGGAAGGGCCAGTTTACCCAAAGAAGGGCTGCCTCGAAGAGTGCCCTCCCTCAGGAGCACAGCATGTGGCTGTGGCCTACTGGGTGGCAGAGAAGTTCAAGGAGGTGCTGAGGCTGTGCTGATGCCCGGGAAGCCACCATGAGGTGACGGTGAAACTCACTGGGAAGCTGCCCACTGAGGATCTGTTGGCTGTCTTGCCATGAAAACAAGAATACCAAAGTCTGAAACTTGAGAAGCCCCTTCCTCTTGCAGTGTCCTCCACTGCCCTGTACTGACAAGGTTTGGCATTGTGACATAGGCAAAGGAAATGTTTACGGGGTCCCGCTCCGAGGTCACCAAGCAGGGCAAAGAGGGCTGGGCACAGAGCTGCAGCACTGCTGTGAAAACACCTGAGGACACTCTGGTTCCTGATCTTTTGTATGTGATCTGTTTTTTGGATTTTATTTTTCCTTACTCAGCAGAACCCTTTAGGATCTTTTCTTCATAGCCAGATTTTTGAAATTTCACAACGATGTGTCTTGGTCTGATTCTTTTTAGATTAATTACTCTGGACACCTTGTGCCCTTTCAATGTGGGTGACCCTGTTCCCCAGTTCTGGGAACTTTTCCCATATTACCTCTCTACTATTTTCTTCCCCTGCACTTTCTCTCATCTCTTTCTGGAACTTCTAATTGTTTGATGTTGGACCTCCTGGGTTGAACCTCTAGTTTTCTTCTCTTTTCTCTCTCATACTTTGCCCTTTTTCATCTTTTGCTTAACTTTATGCAAATTTTTTCAACCTCATTATCCACTCTTTCTACTGCATATTTTATTTCTGCTATCGTATTTTTAATTTTTCAGTCTTTCTTGTTTAGTCTTCCTTTTTCATAGCCTCTTATTGCTTCCTGTATGTTTATCTTTCTTTGAATATTACTTCTAATTTTTCTATATGTATTCTTTTGCTTCCTACATTGTGGCTTTTTCTTCCACCTTTCTTTTTTATTTTGTTTTGCTCTCTATCTTTCGTGTTGAAAGCTTTCTTCAAAAGTCCAGTCCATTCTTACTCGAATTAGACAAAACACCTGAGGGGCCAGCCCTGTGGTGCAGCGGTTAAGTGCACACGTTCCACTCTGGCGGCCCAGGGTTCGCCAGTTCAGATCCTGGGTGCGGACATGGCACTGCTTGGCAAGCCATGCTGTGGTAGGCGTCCCACATATACAGTGGAGGAAGATGGGCACAGATGTTAGCTCAGGGCCAGTCTCCTCAGCAAAAAGAGGGGGATTGGCAGCAGATGTTAGCTCAGGGCTAATCTTCCTCAAAAAGAAAAAGGAAAAAGAGAAAACACCTGAGAAGAAGTTCTATGGGCACAAGTACTTTTTCCTGCCTCTGGGTAAGTTCACTGTGCAGGTTGTGATGGCAGCAACAGTAGGAACCTCTGTCTTTTGTCTTGAGCTGGTCTGGCTCTCAGAGAGGAATCCACAGATCTCCTGCCAGAAGGGCTAGAAGCCTGGCCTCAAGCATCCTGGGTACCCAGGGCCAGGACTCTCACTTTCAATCCTTCTGTTTCCAGAGCAGCCTCTCCTGCCTGCCTCAGGCACGCCTGGTGTCGAGTCCCAAGTCTCGCTGTCTCACCCTTCCTTAACCTCCTGAGGTTCTGTTAGCTTATCTTTTTGCATACACATGAGTTAACTTCGTAGACACCACAGTGCAGTAATTAAGCACACAGTCTCTGGAGCCCAGACAACCTATTGGAACCCTGGTTTCATCACTTACTAGCTGGTGAGTTTGGCATGTTATTTAGCCTCTTTGTACCTCAGTTTCTCCATATGTAAAGTGTGGATACTAATACTCTACAATCGCCCATAGCAAGGGTCAGCACACTGCAGTCCACAGGCCAAATCTGGCCCACAGCCTGTGAGCTAAGAATGGTTTTTACATTTTTAAACAGTTGCAAAAAACCCAAAAAACTCAAATAAGAACAGGTAACAAAACCTTAAGAGGCTCACAAAGCCTAAAATAATTACTATCTGGCCTTTTACAGAAAAGTTTTCTGACTTCTGGCTTCTAGGGTAGTTGTATGAACTGAGTTAATGCAGTTAAAACAGCAGAACAAAATTAAGCCACTCATTCGTTGATTCCCCAGGTGGAGATATCTGTATTTCATACGCGTAATGGGGTCTTCAGTGTGTCAGTGGCATTTAAAGCCCTTGAGACCACATAAGAACCCCAAAGGATTGAGATAGAAGGGGCCCAAGAGCTGAGCTCTGGACACTCCAACTTTACAGAGTCAGAGGATAAAGGAGGATGTTAGCAAACGACACTGAAAAGAGGAGCTATTTGAAGTAGGGG